GTTCACTCCTTGAAGAGGCAGGATGATCGGCTCTTTATTAATATCCTACCCCAGATGACGTCACAGGGCAGTCCAACATTCTAGATGGTGGTAAGACTTAGTTTCCTGGCTTTCCGATTCTTTTAACGACCCCAAAACATCTAGAGCTGGCTCAAACCCTGACCCATCTAAGTCCCATATGAGAGTGCAGCCTAGGTCCCACAATTGCAGGCAGTCTAGGTCCCATGACCGCATGCAGCCTATCTAGCACTCCCTGAAATATTAGACTGTCCTGTGACCTGTGGATTTCTCCTCTTTGTGGGGTATTATATTAATAAAGCACCTGATATTTTTGTTCCCAGCCAGTGAAGCAATCCTGATAAAAATTAGTACCAGGTAATTTTAAGTTTAATGGGATATATTTGGACATGACAATAATTAGCAGTGCAACTCGCCACTTGTATGTCATTATCTGCATTATGTGACTTCACACCAAACACCACTACTGTCTATGAGTTTCCGGTTCAATTTTGTGCAAAAATATCAAATATAATAAATTTTTGTTCAATATTTTTGAAAATATGACATTTTTATTAGTCTATATTGTTGTCAGATAAAAGATTTTCAGTTGCGTTTTTTTGCAACAATCTACAGCCGCATGATGATGATGATTATTTCTGACAAAGTAAACCCCAATTTTTTTTTCAAATGTGTTCTCGGTTCAATTTTGTGACAAAATACCAAATATGATAATGTTCTTTGAATATTTTTTGAAGATATGACATTTTTATTAGTCTATATTGTTGTCAGATAAAAGATTTTTCAGTTGCCTTTTTTGCATCAATCTACAGCCACATGATGATGATGCAAAACAGAATAAACATCTTTTTTCTTGAAATTTGCTCTTATTTAATTTGGTGCAAAAATACAAAATTTTGTGAGATTATATCAAATAGTTGTGAAGCTATGGCATTTTTAGTACACACTAAAATACGTGGTATCTGGGAAAATGCAAGGGTTAATGGGCTTGGTAGTCAGGGGTGGGTTAATCAGGGAAAAAAACAAAGTATTTTGAGGCAAGAGGATAACTTCTTTGCACTAGGAATCATACAGAATGGCTCAGTCTCTCTCTGCAGAGTTGCTAGGCATTGAGAACTTTACAAAGCATTACTCTAGCTTCTGTGATGCCTTTCAATGATTTTTTAAATGCCTGCACCGATGCTGACTCCTCCAAAAGGTCAGAAACTGTTGAGTTTTTTTAAAGATAATTTCTCAACCAAGTATTAAATTTATGGTGTTTACTTACTTGTGAACTGAAACAGGTTCTGCATTGTGTTTAGACAGTTCAGATTCACTGCCGACTAATTTTCTTCTCAGGTGAGCTTTGTCAGTGTAGTCAGGATTCGGGTACACAGAGCCAAGAGGTTCATAATATGAGTTCTAAGAGAGAAACATATATATTTTGAATATCTCCCCCAATAAAGAATTTAACAAAAGTTATCTAAAACATTAAGTTAACATATGCTATATATCTCCACTGACGCATACTTAATCAAAAGTCACCGAAAACATTTAGTTAATATAAGCTCCTCACTTAAATTGCCTGCAAGTCATTAGCAGCTCACAAAAGAATTCACAAGTTATTTTCACAATCAAATAAATATAAAATCAATGTTGGTTAGTTAGTCAATATATCAACCTCACTGCCAATTAAAGCAATCAGTCATAAGTGTGAGGATCCCATCAGTAAATCCTGCAGCGTGTAGTGATTGACAACATATACAGAAATATCATATCAGACATGTAATGCTAGACTCATACATGATTCTAGACTAATCAGCACTAGACAGGTGATGTAGTCAAATCTCCACTAAACAGGTGATGTAGTCAAATCTGTAATAGACAGGTGATGTAGTCAAATCTGCGCTAGACAGGTGATGTAGTCAAATCTGCACTAGACAGGTGTTTTAGTCAAATCTGCACTAGACAGGTGATGTAGTCTAATCTGCACTTGATAGGTGATGTAGTCAAATCTGCACTAGACAGGTGATGTAGTCAAATCTGTACTAGACAGATGATGTAGTCAAATCTGCACCAGGCAGACTATTTTATAACTGACCTTGACTTTTAGGTCAATCCAAGCCTAATATGGGTATGAGAAATCTCCTGAAATGTAAAGGTAGGTGGCAAGATGTTGACCACATCACACATGGAGTGCAGATGACTGGTCTATAAAAATATGAGTCTAACATGAACATTATTTTCTTCTTCGGGTTCACCAGCTGTCAACTTTGGTCAAAAGCACTGTTCGTTCTTCCACTTCTGGACTTTGGTCTTGACCCAGAACCTGGACTTGAGTTTTGTATGCACATCCATTTTACAGATCTGGCTTATTTGTATGCAGACTGTTGGTGACCTGTCGCTCAGGCAGATGCAGTCCAACTTCGAAGAAAAACCCAAATAACAAGTCAACTCTTACAACATGTTTGCTGAGAATCAGTGGGTTTATTTTGTTTCCCACCCCACAATAGGAACCAATGATGTGAAAAGAGACCTTTGTTTACTTAACTATTTTCTTTTTAACCAACAATAACATGGTATTACCTGCAAGCCATATTTTTTCTTAATATTTTTCAGCTCCCGCATTCGCTGCCTTTTCTTCTCCTCTTGTGACATAACAGGGTATACTGAAACAAAACATTAGAGAAAACAAGTCTATAAAAGTTAGGCAGAAATAAAACAGCTTTAACAGTAGCAAGCAAATGACAGAATTTTACTAAATGACTGGTGTGCAAAATATCAGCCTATATAGGTATTCCTCGTTATATGAGGTTAATTCATTCCGAGAAATCAACTTACAACATGAGAATGCATGAAGTGAATTCATTTTAACATGCAGTACATAAGGATAGGTGTAGTTTTGCAAATAGAAAATAACTAGGATTTCAAAATATTATTTTATGAACTGTAAAATTACCAAATAAATGTACGGAATGTATGCTAAAAGCTGTCAGGCTTCATTTATACCTTACAGGAATAGTTGCAGTGAGTCTGTATCACTTTCTTGCTTTCTTGAAGATCCTGGGTTGGATGGCTGGCGATTATTGACTTTTATTACAAAATTACCTAGATTTGTCTCTCTGTACAGTTCACTATAGCTAGCCAACAAATTCTGAATCCCACTGGAAACTTTGGCACTTCTGTCAGTATTTAGATCATTTTCCTTAATGATCTTTATTTGCATTGCTGAAAGAATTCCATCAGTTATGCTGTAGAAAAGTATTTCATGGGCTCAATACCAAGCTCCCATTTTTTTTCTATTTTCCCTGTCACTGGTGAGCTCTGATAAATGGTACTGGAGTAATTCGTCCACACTGGCTGTTTCATCAAGACTAAACACTTGCTTGGCATGTAACCAATATCCTCAGTTACATCTTGAAATTGTGCTGGAAGCTTCTCAAGCAATAACGAAATCACCAGCAGCAGCCTCACCTGTCAGCTTAAGATTACAGAAACCATGTCAACCTTTGAAACACTCAAACCAGCCAGCACTCGCAACAGAAGATAGCACTTCAGGATCCAACTCTACAACATTTAGATCATCAAACATTCTTCTCGCTTTGGCCTAGATAATCAAGGTGGATAAGGAATAGCACTTATTCAGATGGTCAATCCACTGGTTCAACATCCTTCTAATTTTTCTATAACTGCCTAATGTGTGTTATTTTAGCTGTTGTCATTTTCTTTGCACTTTTACACCCATTCCTGTGCTATATTCTGTAACAGACAATGGAACTCAAAAAATCTACCAATGCAGATTGTTCTGAAGAACAATGAAATATGAATTACTTACCATTTTTAACGGTATTAGCTGCTTTAATCCGGGCTTGCACTTGACCTGGTTCACAATTGTCACATGTTTCAGATCCCTTATGTATGTGCAGCAGAAATGTAGTGCTGCCTATCTGGAGCAGGTCATCATGCTGCAGCTTACAGCTATTACTCTCGGACTTGTTCTGAATTTGAAACAAATTTTTAAAAAGTGTGTGCATACAAGATGTTACATTCTATTTTTCTGTCCTTAGTTACCAATATCTATGCAAGATGTTAATTTATTTTGTCTGTCATGAGTCACATATCTGTCTGCAACAATTACTTATGCCTAATTTCTGTTGTTACAAATATCTAATGTCTTATTTCAGTCATTATTCATATGACATAAGCAGTGTTGGTCTGAGATTGGCTACCTCACCCTCTAAAACACTTTAGCTGCTAAATATAACCAAATTCTGAACAAGTCTACAAAGGACATGGCAGGAGTGGGTTAAAGGTCTATGCCTCACTGGAATATAAAAAGCATAAAAAGAAGATAAGAGTCCAATAGAATATTGTAATAGATTAATTTCTCTCTAAGTTCTTCAGCATTCTTGGGGTGACAGGTTTAAAGTAAGAATTTGGAAAATGTATGTGAGTTTTACAACTGGATGGGTCATAAGGAGTTTTAGAAAAATATATTATGTTAGTTGAAGTGAACAGATGCAGGGTGAGTGGCTTGACACTGAATAGTTAACAAGATATGACCTGGTGAACTACCTTATGTGATAATTCTACGTGTCTATAGTAACCAAATTATCGTTCCCGACTTCTTCCATTAAAGACAAACTGCATTTCTGTTGGCGATTGTTGACTCTGGCTCCTCCAACAACTGAAATATGCATTTACTGCATGCAGATATTTCAGGATTGTTCTGGGACTAGTTCTTTGTTCGCCAGTTTTTCAACTGTAACAATGAGGGACATTTTATTTGATTTGCACTGGCACAGGAACGGAGCAAGTATGGGGAAACCCAATTGTAATGATGCTGAAACCTCAACTAAGACTAAGTTAACAAGACACATCACTACACTCTATATCTATAAGTGTATTTTTCTCTTAAGCAGTTGATGAAAATATGCATGCTGGGTTGTCCTTAGATAATAATGACACAATACATCTTTGTTTGCAAATTAATGTGGATTTACCTGTGATAATTTTACTCCATTTAAAACTGTGCCATTTTGACTTCCTTTGTCTCTGAGTGTGTAGCAGTGTTCTTCATAGTCAAAAGCAATTTCAGCATGAAGCTACAGCAGAAATCAGAATAAATAACAGTCAATTGTAGATCACTGCTAGTTAACTATATGAAACTGTTCAATTTTAAATGAAACACTCGCTATGTATGTTGCATTTTATTTTATGAGAAACAAGTTTGAAAAATAGACATGTTTAAATAGAATGTTGAATTATACTGAATTTTAAGTGGAAAGTTAAAGTAATGTCTAAACTTTAGGAGGGCATAAACAGCAGAGATCATAAGAAATTAAAAATGGAGTGACCTATCACTACTTGTATTTTACACACAATAATCTTGGATAAAGTTATAATTCTAAGTAACTACCTATAATTCTAGAGCAAACTCATGACCAGGTTTCACATCAAAAACAAAATTGCAGGTTTAAACTTGTTTAGTGCTGTTTTGATTCTGCAGTTAAATTTCTATGGGATGGAGTAGCAGTCTAACACCAACCTCCTACTGTGGTTTGTGTTGTGAACCGCAGATTCAGACAATGTCAAGTAGCCTGTTGCTAGAAAAATGGTGGTGTCTTATGCATTTAATTGCGTGTGCAACTACTGATCTTCTGTAACTGCTGCTTTCTTTAACCACAAACTGTACTGCTGGTATTTGACTGTTTTTGCTGGCACTTCTGATGACTGCCTTATGCATTTAATGCATCTATATGCCGTTGGTTAACTTTCTAAGCAGTAGTAATAGTGTATGGGTCTGAGAAAGTTCAAATAATAACACTGTGGGACAAAAATAACTGAAGTATCCATTGGTATAAAATAAAGTAAAGCTACAGCCGGATAGAGCACAAGGTGCTCAGAAAGGCAGGGCATGTCAAGCAACTAAAACAAACACATGATCAGTTGCTTGGTAGTGAAAGAGTTAAAAATGAAACGACCAATCAACGAGTAGCCAGATAAGCCAACCACTCATTGTCTAAACCAAACATGTGATTAATACCTTGCTGACACTGAGGTCATCTATTTGAATTGCAAGTCCCTTGTTCTTTTCCCGGCCAACATAACCACCAGTGCATGTTATTATATACAATGACCCACACTTGAGGTGATCCGAACTCTGTACGATAACTCGTATACAGGGTGGGTATTCCTCTGCCATTTCTGCATGAGAAAAAAAGATAACATAATATTACATTTTAATACTTTTTTCTTGGTTTTCTCTGTTTGTATACAGACTCATATAATAGTACTTATACAGTAAAATGTCATTAATATGAATTCGTTTAAGAAGAATACTCAGTTAATATAAACAAAATTTTAGTCCCATCATGGATGTAATATTTTTTATTAGTCTCCGGTAGACACAAATTTTTTTTTAAACATTAGCTTGATTTTCTGTCCCTTGAAATTTATATTGACAAGGTTTTGCTGAAACAATAAACATTCTGTTTCCATGCCATCTTGGATATACAGTGTAAGCTCAGGTCAAAATTCTTGACCAAATTGTACCTGGGTGTCACAGCAGCAGTGGCTAGTATGTTTGTCAGCACAGATTTGATTCACCAGCAAGACAGATGTTTAAAAATCCTTGGGTTCCCAATTCAACATTGACAAATAAATGTCATGGAAATTTAAGGCAACTGGCTTACTGACTGCATCACCCACTGGGTGCCAACTGGGTTATACAATTAATGCCTAAAGTAACAGAAACAGGTCCTTTATTTTACTGTTTACATTTGCCTTAGAGGGATTATGTGGTCTGTTTCACTAGGAATGTAAATGGCACGTCCATGTAATGAGAGGTGGTAAACAGGACAACGTTAGGGACTGGGCAAAGTTTGGTGTGGCCTTGTGCTGTCTGAGCACTTGTAGCTAGCTATAAAGACCACCCTGGGGTAGACTCTGGGCAATGTGGTTCTGGAGAAGTTGTGACAAGCCAGCAATCTGGCAATGGTTTTATTATTGCTACAAGAATATACTGAGATATAAAGAGACAGATTAAGTGACATGACTATGGCACTGTTAAAGGCAGACCTATACATCCCTCTGACAGCACCTGAAGAAGTAAAAGAGGAAGTAAAGAAGAAGAAGAATCATGAGAGATGCCTTTCCTGGCTAATTTATGAGACTAAGGTACTCCAGTCATGTGTTAACCAAAAATATCCTATCTCAAAGGGGATGTGAAACAGAAAGTTGGTTCGCAATTTGACTACGCACTGTGGATCTATCTATTGTTCACATTAAGAGGAGGGAACAAGCTGAAAAAATCCTAAATTATGCCAGTTTTTGCTAACGGTTAAATATTTCTAAATATGGTCAGATCTTTATGAAATGTTGCAAGGGCCTTCCTTATCTGTCACACAAACAATAAATCACAGAGATGTTTATTTCATACTTATTTCCACTTGATGAAGGTACATATTTAGGTGATGAGTAAATCTGTTGCAGTAGCGATCTAAGTCAGTCCTGATTAAAGAAAACTGTTGCTACTTATGCAGCTGAAAGTTTGTGTAGCTGCTCAGATATAGTTGAGCTATAATCTAAACCAAAAATCAACTCTTATTTTGATGTCCAAAATGTTCCAAAGTTTTCATAAAATCAAAACTCAAGTTAAATGCTGACCGCAAGTGTTGGGCTCTTATAAATGGCATTTTTCAAATAGAATCTATCAAGAGCATGTCCTCTAAATTTGATTTTATTTGGTCCAATAGTTTTGAAATTATTCTCATAACATTAATTCACATTTGCAAAAACATTATTCTGAGAAAACGGCCTTTAGAGTTTTGTATGAGATAAGTGCACTGATTGGCTGAAGAAAAAGCATATTCTTAAAAGATGGACCAGTCATTCCATGATGTGACGCTTGTACCACTGTCAGAAAACCTCAAGAACAGATGTTTTTCTAAACTGCCCACAGCGGGAATCCGACCACTGAGAATTGCATTGTGAAAATATTTCATTAACTTTTAAGCCACAGAACAGCACTCTAAAAGCACCTCACTATCTTTGCGACACAAAAGGGGATGATGGATCTTTATCCTCATCTGAAGCATCAACTATCTATCAATTCAAGCAGTCATTCTATTTTTGCTGTCTCCTACCTTAAGCTCCTTTTACATTCTCTATATATTTACATATCTCTGTCTCTAATTCAGAAATTTTATTTTAAAAACTGATCCAGCAAGTGCAGACTGGTCTAGTAAATATCTGGGTTATGCCAAGCACATAGTAGGCATCAAGAAAAATGGTCTAAGATGGCAAACAGATATCTTATCATGAAGACATCAAGGTTAATTACGTAATAATTACAGTTATCTCTTAAATGTCAGAACATACAAAAGATAAAGAGAGGTATTCTAGGACTATCAAATAACAAGCAAGGCAAGAAAAAATAATTAAAAATATGTCAAGACAGAAGTTAAAAACACTGATGCTACAATAAAGTGTGTAAAGAAATACTGTCAAATTAAAATAAATTTTGCACTCCTCATAATTAATCAATAAGAGAATTGTCAACAATAACTATATTTAGGCAAATCATCTCCCCCATACGAGTTCCTGGACCCCCACTGTAGGAAAACAAGACTAGACCCACTACCCTCTAACAAGCATGTCATAAAAGACAACTAACTAGAGGTGTTTCCTTTGAAGGCAGAGTGCATCTGCCTTAGAGGCAAGGAACCAACAGTCTGCACAAAAATAAGTCAGATATGCAAAACAAAACATGTAAAACTTAAGTTCTGGAACAAGACTAAAGTCCAGAGCTGAATGAACACGCAGGACATCCTACAGGAGTTTACTGCTGGAAAAGGTGAAGAAGAAGAAAAAGATTTACAAGAGCAACAAAAACACAACTTAAGAATGCAATCCTTTTTGTGATTCTAATATTTAAAAATGATATGTTTTTCAGCATAAATATTAAAAATTGCAGGGTCTGTGGTAAACCTTCAAAGAAGGATTCATAGGCCCTAACTAACTAGGCAGCACTAATCTAAAACAAACAGAAGATCATTTGAAATGATATAACTTTACAGCAGAAAGACCTGTTATGGATTCATAGGCAACTGGTGGATGCTCTATCTCTATCATTTCCACATCTGATGAAGAACTTTCAGCAGTCAGCTCTCCAGATTCTGAAGAAGACTCTGAATCACTGCTTGTGCAACTATGTGATGATTCACTGTTGTGCTCAATATCTTCCTCTGCCAGCATCTTGTCTGCACTGCATTCTTCTTCAACAAGATCTTCAACATCCACACTTTCTTGTTGTTTTGTCATTAACACTGTACTGCTTTTATCCATATTTTCAGCAGACACATTGCTGTCAATTTTGTCTGGTGATGACTTTATGTGTTTCTTCAATTTTTGGCTGGAATTATCACTTGATTCTCCTTCCTTGGTTCTGCTCCGGTGCTTCTTGTGTCTTTTGTTCTTTGTCTGAAAAGAAAATAAGAAAAAATGTGTTGGTGACATAACCTGACAAATGTTACAACTAAAAAGAACCGAAATTTACCTAGTGCATTTATCTTGCACCTCTGTAGATCAATTTTCATTTGTGAAAACCTTGAAGATATGATGTCTATATTATATGGAATGCTTGATTTGTCTGTGTACAACTGGAAAAAAAGCAACATATATGGTATAATAAATACATAGGAGATAAGCAAAATTGGCATGTAAGGATGACATTTTATAAACATATTATACCCGATTCAGAACTCTGATGTATCAACCATCTTCTTCTTATAGTCTATGCCGTGTGGCGTTGGTATTCATGTCTTTTCACAACCTTTTGTTTCGTGTACTTTTGATCGATTCTAATACATTTGATCTTCTATGTCATGATATCAAACTGTCCGGCATCGTTTCTCTCGGTCTGCGTCTGCCTCTCTCCCCCTCTAACTTTCTCACTGTCAGGATGGATTTCAGGTTTTTTATTCTCATGACATGGGCAAAGAATGCAAATTGTCTCATTCTGATGTTTGAAATTAGTTCTTGTCATGAGTCCCTTCTTTTAAGACATCTTTATTGCTCTTTTTATCTGTCCAGGGTGTTCTGATCATTGTCTCTTATAACACCTCTATTACTTCCACATAATTGTGACTGACTAGCTATGGAAACTAGTGTATTATTACATATGCAAGGCAGCCATAGTAAAGGACGGGCTAAATGCTTGCCTGCCGATCCTAATGTCTTAGGTTCAAATATGCACTGGGCTGGATTGTTTTAAATGATCTTTAGCTGTCAGGTCAACCCAGCCTAAAATAGGTACTAAGAAATGTCCTGGGAAGTAAAGGAGGCAGGCAAGATGTTGACCACATCACCAACCAAGTGCTGATGGGTCTCTACAAATATTATTTCTATAGGCTGTCCTATTATTCACGTGCAAACATGCATGGATGTGTTCACATAAACATATGAACACTAATGCCAATATAAACTTATAATGGTAGGAACAATCAGATTTAAAAAAACAAAAATAATGCTTTACATTTTTCTTTTTCTTCTATGATTGCCCCTAAGAAAAAGCACTTGGCACACTGTACTGTAGTTTCAGTTAGTTTGTGATATCTGTTATTTTCGCACAATTCATGCGACTTTAGAAAACCCCTAATGTGTCACCGTTTATGATATGCTTGTGAAGGGGCAATGGGTCTAACCCTTCCCACCCTTTTACCCCCCAAAAGGCTGGGGCACTAGAACCCACAGAGGATCACTACATACAAAGTTTATATATATTAGTGCTGCTGATCTAAATGTCCTGGAGCAGCTTATTTCAATCAGTAGGTGTTATTTCCCAAATGAAGACTGATCACAATGGCTCTCTAACACTTTCTGCCTCTAATCCTAGTTGTGTACACCCTGAGACCGCTATTTGTCCATCTCTCTGATGTTATCCTCCCATTTGTATCATTCTCTACCTTTTGCTCACTTCTATTTGAAAAATGTTTTGCCAGTATGGCTTTTAATGTGGCTGAAATATTTAAACTGTCTGTTGTGTTTTTGTTTTCTTTAACTCTTTGAGTCCCAAGGAATGCATCATACGTTCATAGGTTTCTACCGAGAAGCCCAATGAACACAAGATGTGCCTATTTTATGACTCTCTTTACTACCCCCTGTGCCTGTGATGCTAAAACCCTTGGACTTAAAGAGTTAAGTTTATTTCAGTAACTCTCTTTTTATTCCCAGTCTCTTCTGAACCCCTGTACTGGACTGTTATGTTAACTGTTTAAATTTTCTGTATATTGAGAGAATCAATTTGATATTCAAATTCAAACATACACACACATAAAAAGCATTACTTTTCCAGGGTAGCCACCAAAGTTCAGGGACTTTTAGGAGAGCATCAGCTTTTGAAATATTTATTAAGGAACAGCACAGTTAGGATATCCTGCCAGCTACCAACTCTGAGTTATGCAAATATGTTTGTTTTAGAATCCAGAATTCCCTCGAAGTCGGAGTACATCTGCCGGAGAGGCGGGGAACGAGAACTGCAAACAAATAAGCCAGTAAAACGGATGTACACGCAAAACTCAGGTCAAGGTAAAAGCCAAAAGTCCATTTGGACGAACAACCGCGACTTACCGCCGGAATTCACAGCCGGTGAACAAGAAGAAGAAGAAGAAGTATCCAGAAGCCATGAGTTGTTAACCCTTAGGCTCGGTATTATGGATATCGCAACCTTTCGGCCTTGATTCCATTGTAAATACTGTAAATCTGGGGGAAAATGTGGCTTTCCTGCCTACCCCCGGGATTGAACCCGGACCACAAGGAGTTCGTCACCCGGTCTCCGCGCAATCCGGTTTAGCCAACTACGCTAGAGAGCCGGGCTATGCAAATAAAAAATACAAAGACAGATACTGCTGCAGGGCTCTGAAATGTGAGTTTGTCCATTTCCTTGGCCACAGTATAAGACTCAGTGACCAGGTCTCTTCTTTACTGTTTTTATTTTCTATCAATTTCAGAAAATTTTCAGGTTTCAATTTTATAACGCTAAGATGCAGTGGGAAGAGAAAGAATAACGGACTGAATTTGAATAAGGGGCATTCTGACATTATTAAGTAAATCAGTGTATAATGTATACAGAATCATCGGTTTCTGAATCAGCAAATCAAATCCACATATTCTTAGTTGGGTATCCTTTACAGGAAACTGCAGACCCAATTCCAGTATTTTTAGTTGTTTGTGATTTCACTAGGCAATTTTGACATTCAGCTGGTTGCCAATGTTTTCTAAATGGTCTGTTGCCAATTCACCAAAAGCTGAGATCAAACCTGGCCCCTTAGAATAGGAAGTATATTTGTAAAGCCTAAGCCACAGGCGCCGACATTCTTAAGATACATAACTCTAATACCTCCTTGTTTTCACTGTCTGGTATTTGCATTTGTCTTGATACTTCAGCCTGAGAATAAACCTCATATCCTCCTGTTGCCTCATTGTACTTGTAATAAGCTTTAGTTGTGTAGTCATAGAACAGTCCAGAATTCTGAAATATATGTAAAAATAAAATATTATGTTGCTGTTTTAGAGTTACAAGAGATGACCAGGGAAAGAAAGAATAGTAACACTGTAACTGCTCAAATCAAAAGGTGAAGAAAAGACACTGGCGTTGGATAGGACACATGTTGAGAAAACCTGAGAAAATATAACTAGAATGTCTTTGCACTGAAACCCAGAGGAGCTTTGAAATAAAAACCAAAAACCCATGGAAAAAGGAGCTGGTAAGTTAAGTTAAAAAGACAGGGAGGACATGGGGTGAGCTGAATGGTTTTGCAAAGGAAAAGATAACAGCATGATCTGGTTGAGGGCCTATGCTCCAATGGGAGATAAAAGGCAGAAGAAAAAGAACAACCAAAGCATGTTGTAGGAGACATTCAACTCTTTTAGTCCTGAATAGGTGTTACTTTAAACCTATTTTATCCAAACAAGTTGTTCTTTTACTTTAACCCATTTTATCCAAACAAGTTGTTCTTTAACTAATAAATATGTGAGTCTACAGGGATTAATAGATATAGTGGTGGTAGAAAGTGACACAATTGGCTTTGAATAATGGGAAGACAAAAGTAATGGTAATATATAAAAAAAATGAATAGTGCCTAAATGTATAATAAAAGTCAATGGTATTATTTTAAGACAGGTATAGAAATTCAAGAATTTAGGTACATAGATAACATCACAGAGATAAAGAACAGAAAAGGACAGGCTAAAACTGCATTTTATAAATTAAAGAACATTTTATGCAATAAATCCAAGTCAATCGAGATTTAAAAAAAAGAATTCTTAACTGTAGAGCTAGTTTTAACTAGAAGACAGCCCAGACGTTTTGAAATATGCAATGACAACTTATTGCAAACATCATAAAGTTGAAAATCACAGATTATGGAGAGGTAAGATCTCTCATACCAGATAGCAAGACACTTGATGATGATATCAGTCTAAAAATACTACAAACATAAGGCTTCAAGATGGAAGGTATTAAAGTAAAAGCAGAAGCAGTGTCAGTTTATGTAACAAGCAGATGATACACAAGCAGTGAAGAAAAGTGCATCATATAAGTAGAAACTAAGCTTGGTACTGAATGAGTCAAGAAGGGTTGACTGTTGAGGTGATCACTATTTGTAAAAATAGCATGTTGTTTCTCATAAATAACCTTACAAGCTAACTGAAAGTAGTAAGACAAGAGCATAAAAAACATCTTGCTAGATAACAAATGGCATTGAGATGAAGGGATATCTCCACTGCCAAGGACCATACCTCATTTACACTCTGAAACTGAGTCTCAAGCCTTCCTCGATGTAAACAGACTTTCAACATCTAAGCTCTGCAATACTGTTTTGAGACTTCCACAGCATGATCAACATTTCGGAGGGTGGGAGGAATCCTAAGAGAGGGCTTGTATGCACACCACTGGGTTCTTCTGTCATAAACCAGCAGCAAAATATAACAAGTCTGGTTTGGTAAATATCTCACATTTTGAGTCAGCAGTGAACAGGTAGTAAGTACCTCTCTTAAGGGTAGATAAATCCTATCTGACCAAGACTTGACCTCAAAATGCAATTCTAGCCTGCAAACTGTTCATGTTTCCAAGTGTCAACACTTAAACAACATAGTGTGAGCAGCAACAACAAAATGAATAATTACTGGCATCAAGAGGATTAAAACTGCAATAGTTGGAGCATATACAGTTGTTGTTGTTATCGATCCAGCGGCGCATGAGCTTTCGCCCTTTGGCCCAATGCCATGTAGTGGAATTTGCATGTTTTCACAAGCTGTTGTTTTCCTCCGTACAAAGTGTTCCACTTGTCTGGTCTTGGAGGGAGTAGCGTTCTTCTTGTCTCACTGAGGTCTGGGCACTCAAAGAGATGGTGTTCAACAGTTTCGTAGGGGTAGTTACATAGCTGGCACTCTGGAGAGTGTTGTGGCTGTATTCTGTTTAGGTGTCCATTGAGTGGAGTATGTTGCGTTCTAAGTCTGAAGATGGTGGCCTGGTCCCTTCTTGTTAGATGGTTAATGCTGTCATTAGGATCAGGGCCAGACATATGTCTATAAACCTCTCTTCCAGTGTCTCCCATGGCCCATCTGTTCAACCAAGTCTCTTTGTTTATAGCTCTTATCAGTGTTTTTGCTGTCTGGAGGGTTGTCGCTGTAGGTGGTTGTTCTTGTGTTGCTCCTTTCTTTGCCAATCTGTCAGCTCTGTCATTACCTGGTGTGCCGGAGTGACCTGGAATCCACTGCATCACTATTCTGATGTTGTATGAGGTAATAAGCTGAACAGCATCCAGGATTATCTTGGCTATATCAGTTCTGCAGCGTTCACTGCCCTCCAGAGCTTGAAGGGCAGACATTGAATCAGAGAATGCCATATAAGAGAAAGACAAAAACCTAGTACATAAAAGATTTGAATGGGAGCAGACCATAAGGCTGACCAAGAAGAAGATGGAGAGATATTTTACATGCAGACCTATGAAAACTAGGAGTCACCAAATGAAAAGAGAAGGTAAATAACAGAGCCAAGTGGGAGCAGAGATATGATATCTGCTCAAGGGCTCAGAATGCTGAAGAAGAAAAACACTCAAACAGAATTTGTAGAACAACAGTTTAATCGTTATAAGCAAATGTCTTTATCTCACTGTACTAGTAACATCATCTGTATCCAACTTTACTGTATTAATAACTTGAACATTTCCCGTCTCACTCAATGCACTAACTTCATTTTCATTATATACTTCATTAATAACTGTACTTGTATCTTACAGAAATGAGTGGAAGCTGCTGTAGCATAATAGCTAAATGGTCGTCTACTGACCAAAAGATGTTGTGTTTGAATCCAAACAAGAGAAAGTTGTTATAATTTACCTTGGCTGTCACAGCTAAAACTGAAACAAGTAAATGCCCTGGGTATGTGTACATACATCTGATAAGCCACTGGGTGTGGAAAGGGTTCTTTATTTACATAGCAAAAAGTAATATGAATAATCATTTTTAAGGGAAGGAAAGGGTAAAACTATGCCAGAAGAAAAATCTAAATTTAAGTTAACAAACCTAACACAGTTTTTGTGTTAGGGCAACTTACTGGATCCCAATAATATCCAGTGGCTGAATGGTAGTACAATCCAGAGGATTCATCAAAAACATATCCTGAAGCAACTTCTGGCTTGATTTCTCCAGATTCTGATGTAGAATAGGTTGTGACATCTTTTAACTGATTCTGCAGTTCAGCTTCTGCAGCTGCTTTTAAGCACTCAGCTATTGATAATTCACCAGAGCTCTGTTGGAAAATGTTGAATGTGATGATGAAAATCACACACACAGGTATATAAATTTATACACATTTAGACAACCATGCAATAAACATATTAAATGAAGTTATCCAATAACCAGTATCATATTCTATTTCTCAGATGTTAAAAGACAAAGCTGATAGAGACAATCATATGTACAGAGCTTATAAAATAGGAAGAATACTTTAGATTATGTGTCCCAAAGCTATCCAAACTCTTGAAAATGTAGAACATTTCACATATCTTGGCAGTTTGGTGTCCCTGCTGGGAGGGACCGAAGAGGACACGTCTGAACAAAGCTACAGTTGCTTTTGGAAGGATGAAGCAAATCTGGAAATCCAACAATTACTGCAGAGGAACGAAACTCCGACTCTACAAGAGCATCATTTTGCCAATTTTTCTTTATGGAGCAGAATGCTGGAGAATGACCAAAAAGGATGCACACAAGCTGTCCACCTTCCACCACACATGTTTACGTAGAATTATCAAAATTTTCTGGCCAGATACAATCTCAAACACTAAACTACTTAAAGTCACAAACCAAGAAACTTTAGACAGTATGATAACCAAGAGAAGATGGAAATGGCTTGGCCACGTTATGAGAATGAATCCTGATATACCCGCCAAAACAGCTCTCACACTGACACCAGAGGGAAAGAGAAAACAGGGGCGCCCAAAAACAACATGGAGACGAACGATGGAAAGTGACCTGAATGCAGCATCTTTGACATGGAAAACTGCACTGAAGATAGCACAGGACAGGAAAGCATGGAAAGTCCACTCTGAAGCCTCATGTGCCACTAGGCATAACGAGAATTGATGATGATGAAAGCTATTCAGGGCAAGGTACCCCTTTCTATCTAATTGTTTTAACCTCATCATCAGCATTTTTTAAACAAGTTATCAGTTATCTTTTATTATTCTCTCTCTCGCTCACTCATTTTCTCTCTCATTTTGTGTGTGTATACATATATGTTCACAGAAATGGATGATCGAACCTTGGCTAATGACATACATCACATACATGTGGCCCTTCAGAGACCTGAATAGAGGACCTAGGATCAAGTGGAACCCCAGAGCACAGTCACTCTTTATTTCCACATCATAGGAATGGAGCAAACGTGGGGCGACTTGTTTCTGGTGAAGATGAAATCACCACCAACACCACTACATCATCATGGGATACATGAATAAGCAAGACCTTTGTTGAGGCTCTAGTAATTACGGTGCTGCAGATGAAGCCAGCTGGCCAGAAGACACAAGATTATTGTACATAATCATAATGGAAATATGTCTATGTCTGCAGCTATTAGTTATCGTTCTCAACCACAATGCAGTCTCTAGCAGCTAAAGTGCCAAGTCTAAAACAGGACTTACCCAACGCAAGAGGAGCTTTTCATGTTTTGTAGAGCCAAAAAGCATGAGAAAAGGGCACCTGGTCTACTATTAAATTAGTTGATAAGAAAACTACTGAAGATACTTGAAGGTATAAACTGTCCAAATTAAAAAAAAAAAAATAGTGCATAACACATAGCTAAATATATGTAGGAAGCAAAATACCCAATGCTAAAAACTGAAGACCATTTATCTACTGAAGTACTTACTGCTCCAGTGATCATCCACCTGAGTTAAACGCAATCCCAAATAAAGAAAAACTATTAAGACTGAAGATTTCACTAGTAATGCTTCTGAAATGTGCTTACCTGACCACCATTTGTACCCCAAACTGGCATAGGTTTGTTGCCATATGCTAAACACAAATGAGAAACAAAAATTAGTTTTCATGGTGATTCAGCTATATATAATTGCATTACCCATTCAAGACACACTGATGAAGGATGCCACAAAAGATGATTAATCAACATAGAGTAGAGTTTAGTCATCACTAATGGCAGTAGCAAATTTCAGACAAGAAGGAGCATCATTTACATTTACAATGAGCAAACTACAATACAATTAGAATTCTACAACTGCTGATAAGAGAGAATAAATCAAGAACTCACATTACTGCACTTGGGACATTCCCACACATGGTCTGTCTTATTCCTCAGTAGCCAACAAAAAATCCCCATGCTAACAGAACCAGCTGCAGTCTGACTGAAAGAAAACCACTGCTTTCCTTTAATGTTGCATATTGTCCAGAACCCAGGCTTACCCCTCACTCAATTAGTCTTTCAAAGTAGGAAAACTCTGTTCTGTTCACTTGATCAAAGAGAGCTTTCACCAGGTCCACTTTATCATAAAGCATATCACCACCTAAAGCAGCCTATCTATCAGTCTGTTCATTCCATTGCACATTCAAATGCTCAGGATACAAAAATCCACAATATGCTCTTGAACCGAGTCTTCCCAAGTGATGCAATCGACTCTATGCATATCACACCAGTTTCTATATGATAAGAGGGAGGGAAAGTAAATGTGTATCCTGTGTCTTATGAATTAAACTTAAATGAATCATCAATTGTTGTTGAAATGTGTGAATTCAAAAGGCAAGAGCAGCTTCCATACAACTAAGGCAATTACTAATAAACTACAAACATTCATTAACTGGTGCCTGCGTAGAATAGAAGGAATTAAATGGCATTATAGAACCACTAGACAGTGCTTTGGGACAGAACTGAACACATGTTCAAAAGAACCAAGAGGTGAAGAAAAGAAACTGGCGTCAGAAAAGACACATGTTGAGAAAACCTGATAACAATATAACTAGAATGTCCTTGGCACTGGAACACACAGGGGAACAAATAAAGGAAGACCAAAAAATGCATGGAGAAGGGAGCTAGAGAGCGAAGTAAGAAAGATGAGGAGGACATGGGGAGAGCTGCATGCGAGAGCAATTAATAGAATGACTTAGTTGAGGGCCTATGCTTCACTGGGGGTAAGAAAGGCAGAAGGAGAAGAAGACACAGATGCATCATTAATATGTGTGTATTGTGTGTAAGGCAATGATATATTATTAACTTCTTACCATCTTCTATTTCGAGCTCTGTCACTTGAATGTATACAGATTTCATTTCACATTTTCCCACAGTCCTATAGGTATGCATTTGGGAGCTAAGCACCTCAAGTTCATGTCTAAGATCTTCATTGTACTTATTTGCCTTTTCTAACAGCCTCTCATATTTGGCAGACAATTTTGTTAACTTATCTATTTCAATATCTTTCTCCTTTAATGAAAACTCTAAATGGGTTACTGTTTTTGCCAAGCCTCCCTCCAAAGTGTTTTGTTTGATTTGTCAATGTTGTGGGCAGTTTCAATTTTACTGTCATCAACTTCAACCCCTAAAGGAACATCTGACAATGTACCATCATGTTTATCTTCTTGACTGCTGTTTTCAAGCTGCTGCATTTTCAAATTTTACTACAAAATAACAGTGTCCTCATTCAGTTCAGCAGCAAAATTATTAGTACTGTACACTGTACTGGTGATGGTCAACACGTCAATATTCTCTTCAAGTTCAAGAATTGCTGTACTGTTCATAGAATTAACACCTCAATAATGAGAATAAAACAGGGGCAAATCTCAGAAACCCTGCTGAGTGGTATGACTCATTTATATAAATGTGGGTTATTTAAAAAAAAACCCGCAGTCCAATGTATGGATGGGATTAACGATAATAAAACTATAGCGAAGATTTTTAGTTTGTACAATATTGAATATCGTGGAGTTGTATAGCAGTCGGACGCAGTTTGTAGATTTGGGGAGCAAATTTCCGAATCTCAACAGAAGAGAGTTCTAGTCTGTTTCCGACACGTGACCGGAATAGAGCCCAACTTAGCGTCATTTAGTTTAAACTCATTGCAAGTTTCTGGTTGTTATATTTATTACTGTTTCTCAGTAAATACTTATTTATAAGTGTTCCATTTCTTTGGAAACGATATTCTATGGAGTCTCAGGTAATATATTGCAAACTTCTGTGTCGGCATTGCACTACACGCAGCGCTTTTAAAAATGTTTTAATTGTAATATATTTTAATAAGATGTTAGTAATTAACCAGTATTAGTAGATGTACAGTTCTTGTTGAAGTTCTTCGTTCACGGTTCGCACAGTACTTACACCTGTTATTTCTCTAACCTCATGTCTTTTATGAATTTTATCAACATTCGTTCATATATGGTTTTCACAATATCTCCCTTGTGATTTGACTATTACTACTAGTATTCCAGTAAAAAAATTCGCTTTGTCCCTCGCTTTGTTGATGTAACAAACAATGCTTAGTTGTATCCACTCATGTTCATGCCACATTTGTCATTTGTCCATTTTTAACCTTCTGCAGTATCATATTACTGAGAATCAGACCCAATAATTCCCATAACTACCCGGTAACTACGTTCTGATCTACCTCAGAGCTGCAGTGCGTGATTAGATTGCCTCTATCAAGTCTATCCACCTCGTGCTTAAAGTTGTGGATAAAAAAAATAAAAAAGCTCTATTTTGTTCTGCTACGATCTTTCCCTTTATTCTGGCCGAAAATCTCTAGCCATAAGTTATAAAATAGAAACACCTGTGGTGTTCACTATTAAAATAATTAAATCATCTAGCCCAGCATTTTCATCTGTCAGTTGAACTTGAACTTCTAATTCTGCTGTACCGTTGCCATTAGTCATACACCAGTCTTCATTTTCTGAGTCTCTTTCTGATGTGGTGACCTAATGCTAATGGAAAATGCTATTGTGGGTATTTATGGATTTATGTTGATAGAGTTGATGATTCCTGCCCCCTCCCCCCATGTATTTGCTCAACTGAGGCTGTCCCAATGGTATCTTCTTCACTGCTTCACTTCAGCTCAGCTAGGTGCCATCCATACTTGACTTTTCTCGTTTGAACCGGTCTCCTCTCAAATCTTTTAGATTGCAATGCAGCAGATGCCTTTCATAAAATTGGTAACTACTAACTCACATTTTGATTTTGGCATTGCGCCAGTGACAATGAGACAGTCTAGACTTTACTGATTACCCCAAGCATATAGTTTAAAGTTTATACCTCATAGTTCTAATTGGTGTTTCTCGTGTGCAACCCAAGACGATTCTCATTCCTTCTATTTTGAATCGGTTAAGCTTTGTACACGGAGGTGGATTTGGTTCAAATCAAGTCTTCTCATATGATTCACAGATTACATTTTAAAAATTCCTAAACATAATTATAAATGTGCATAGTTTTGAATTAGTTGGACTTTCAAAAATGTCATCCAGTTAACCTAATTACTTTAAATATTAGCATCAGTTCTAGGTTTAAACAGTAAACCGTATGGCAGAAATTATGTTTCTTCAACTATTTTGTTGTCTTTGTTTAAATTAGGGTATCAGAGCACCTTCATGGGGAGCCCCTGCTTCTAAATCAACGCCCAGAAATGATCAGGCACAAAATGGTAATCGACAAAATTTTAATCGTGGTGGTCAATCTTATCACCACAACCAGTCGCCTGTTAGTCACAACTACCAGAGACCTTCCCCTTATCACCCAGATCATAGAGGACGGGGCGGTACATTTCAGAGTGGCAGACAAAACAGTGACAATCCTAGATTTCAGAGTCCTCGACAGAATTTCAGCCCACAGAATCCCTTTGCCAGCCAGTCTTGCAGCAGCTTTAGCAATGATAATCCATATCAAAGTAAAGGACAAGCATTCAGCCCTAACAACCCTTTCCAGAGAAACAATCAAAATAATAGTCCCCATTTTCAGCGGCCTCAGTCCAGTCCATCGTCAAATTCACCCAGAATGAACAGCGTTCCATTCAGCCCCCGAACACCAAATGCTTCGTTTCAAACGCCATCTCCAAGACATAACAGTCATTTCAGAGGAAGTTCGAATTCACCGCAGGTTTGTATTTTTTTTAATTTGTAAAGAATTGCATTGCTTTTTGTTCATGTACATAGGTACAATAGTTAATTAGTAGTCATTGTAAATAGGACAGGATGAAAATCTAGTAGATGATTCAAGGCCAAGTTAGATAGAATATTACTTGCAAACCATTAGATATCAACAGGAAAAAATGCTCAGCCACTACCACTGTGTTTTTACACATTGTACTGGAAGAGTTAATGCTAAAGTGGGAAACCAACAAGATAGTGTAAGCATACATTTTTTTATGTGGCGTTAAATAATGTATGGCGATCTTGGGTATTAGAAGCACATAATGTTTTTTTCTCATTTGCAATAATATAGTGCATTGCATGATAATCAGGAATATAAATTGATAAGGTTTTTAATAATTTGTAATGCTATACATTGTATTACAGTTCTTCAAATGTCACTTGGTAAGTTTGGTGGCAGCAGTGAGATATAAAAACTTCTTTTGTAAATGTGATGTTTTGAAGGCTTAAGTAAATACATTGTTACTCCCAATATTTATCATGAATCTGTTCCAGAGGGTAGGCCAATTATCAAATCCGTTTTCTCCATAGGAATTACCTAAAAATAGTGCAGTCTATTACCAATCCTGAATTTTACGTCTCTATTCTGTTTAAAAACGAATTTGCTCAGAAATCATTTCAAGTACTTGTTACTTATATTTTAACCACTGTACTTATTATTACCTAATATTTACTAGTCTTGATGATGTAAATATACACTATACTTACATAAATATTTAATTAACATTCTAAAAAGAAACTTTAAAAACAAAAATAGAAACAATTGTCTGATGTCCTGGTGACTTATCAGCATTTCCAGACATTTCACGAGCTCTTGTTCTTTTTTAGTAGCCAGTGTTTGTTTTTTTTTTTTTTTTTTTTTTTAAATATATATATTTAATATATTTTTTTTATACTGAAAGAGTTCAAACATATCACCAAATAAATTGGTAGAGTTGATACAATACACCGATTAACTGTATCAATGTTTTAGTGCCATTTTTTTTAATTATAAAAATGTGCAATTTTTTGCCCAGATGGACAGCATTCCTTAATTTCAGCACTTGGGGAACTTGGCTTCTATTTTATTCTTATCTAATGCCAGGCTCTCCAGCGTAGTTGGCTAAACCGGATTGCGCGGAAACCGGGTGACGAACTCCTTGTGGTCCTGGTTCAATCCCGGGGGTAGGCAGAAAAGCCACATTTCTCCCAGATTAACAATGGAATCAAGGCCGAAAGGTTGCCATATCCATAATACCGCGCCTAAGGGTTAACAACTCATGGCTTCTGGATACTAAAACAAAACAAACAAACAATTCTCATCTAATGACACGCCAGCCAAGTCAGATGAAGAATGAATATTTACTTTTGAGCAAATCTCAAATTAAAATATAAACAGAATAACAGGGCGGATAGAAAAAAAAGACATTAGCGTTCTTTAATGCTGGAGCTCGACTGTATTAATAATGTTCATTCAGTGTGTTTTTAGTAACAATAACTTTTTTATTTAGGCTATATTTATTTTTTAATGGCTGGGCTATTGCAGACAAAATTATGAGTTTTAGTGCAAGATTGACTTGATGAAGATGTATTACTTGTATCATGTATAAGGAATAGTTTAAAAATAAGTTTTTGCTGCTCAGTCACATAAAAAAGTAATTTATCATTTAGTCATTTTTTTAAAAACACTCCCTTTATTCTACACTCTAGTCTATCCATTTTTATGAAGATATGGCTAGCTACATGATCTAGATTGATAGCAGGTATATATGCCCTCTTCTATGTGGTTCTGAAACAGGTTTAGTAAAATTGTTGTTGTGTTGCTTTTACATAATCAGGCTATGATGCCAGCCTCTCTCCTCTATCTTTGCATTAACCAACAGTAAACTTTAGCAGAAAATTCTGGTTTGTCCACTTGCCAACTCTCTGATGTTTCAGAACTTGTGTGTTTTGCATTGGCATCCGTTTTACAGATTTTGCTTATTTTCTCCAGGCTGTTGGTTCCTCCCCACTCAGACAGATGCACTCTGACTGTGAGGGAAACATCCCCAATCACTAATCTCCTACATGTTTATTAGAAGACAAAATGGAGCCTCAAGGGAATAATCTAGCCCAATAGCCTTGGACATGTGGCAACTAAAAGTTAAAAATATCTGGGCAGCTCTTGTGCATTATGTGTGTGATGGCATTTTTTGGAATAGATATGCATTTTAAAATAAAACTGCACACATTTTCCTCCTGTTTAAAGGAAATGTATTTGTTTTCTGCAGCATTTCAACAGGAGAAATTCAAGTATGGGTAACCCAGGTGGCAGTGAAAACATTCGAGATTACATCAGCTCCAGCATGCTTGAAGATCCATGGAGGGATTTACCACCAAGACCGTTGCTGCCATTACACTGATTGTCATAACAAGTAGTGTTACATTTGTTAGAGACCTTTTTTATTCTTATTTTCTCACCATGGTATCTGAGCTTGGTTGATGTTTTACCAGTGTTATAGGGGTCTTGATGATGTACAAGGTGAGGAGGTTTGTCACATGATGATGTGTGTTACCATGTGTACACTGTAATATTTCAACAAAGATGTGACTGCATTCACCCTTGCACATAGTAAATTATTGTTATGTTCGCTGAAAACTTTATGTAGCCATGCTGTTGGGGGATGTTGAAGGTGGAGTGTGTGCTAAGATGGCAGTTTTCTCACGTTTACAATTTAGTTTTGGAATTCCAGTGATTTGTGGGGACTGTCATCATAGCAGTTGGAAAAGATCCATAGATGCTCCAATTTTCTCCTCAGTATGTCTATTAATCAGATGTCTTGTTAAATGCTCATGTCTGGCTGTTCCGGGTTGCACTACCTTGTTCACCAACCTGGACAAGGATATTGAGTCCTGCTTGTTGTCATCCGCAACGCAGTATGCATTTCATATGTTATTAATGACATTGCTCCTGTCCAGTGCCGGTTCTGTTTTGGTAATGCCTTGTTCGCCAGATAATCTATACGCATTTGTAAATTCTTGAGTTCTCATGCCTTTCTAGCCTGAAGCTTGACTTTTTTATAATTTGGCCTTTGTTGGTATTTGTTGAACAGCTCCCAACAAGATCTGATTTCGGTGTTCTTTCTTTCGGTTTCCATATCATTGTGCAGTTTTTCTAGGTCACAATTCCAGTATGATTTATATTGCTTACGTGCCTTTTTGTAATTCCATCTTGCTAGAGTGCTGCTCTTTTTTGAGACTGGTTTTTCTATCGTTAAAAAGACTGGGTGGTGATCACTACCTCCTAGTTGTTTTCCAACAGTTCTAGTATAATCCCATTCCGTGTCTGGTGAATGAAAGGCTAAGTCTGGGATAGAGGTGGTATACCATGCTCTTGAGTAAAAGGTTGGTGGGTCGGTTGGCTTATTTATGAGGATGAATCTGTTCATCCTGCCAGTCCTCCAGTTTCTATCCCATCTGATCCATGTGATCGTAGCCTATGCTTTTTGAGTGACCATTGAAATCTTCACTCACAATCATTCTTTTATTTACTACTGCTGTATTCAGTGCCTGAGGGAGGTCGCTTTGACAGTAATAGTTGATTTGTCAGCAATCTGTTTTCTGTCTTGAGCTTAGGAATCTGGTACTCCACCCTTTCCATGTATGTTTCAGTCTGGCATGCAAATATGTTTTCTTTGACTAGAGTATAGAACTGGTACTATTAGCCATCGGACGTTGGGGTTCATACTGAGGGGAGGATCTGAGCACCTATGGACATGTCCGGAGTGCAATGACGATAACCCAACTAACTAACTAACTAACTAGTATTCCACCCTTCATTCTGTCTTTCGGTCACATTGGTAGCCTCTAATCTTATGTTACATACACAGTAGACAGCTAAGTATAGGATTTTGTAAACTAATCGAGATGTAAAAATTCCAGCCACCATTTTCTTACGCCCTGTGCCTATGCTACCAACTTGCGATGTTGGCCGATGTTTCTTATGCAAACCTGTCTTCTTGACTCTCTAAAAGTGACACTGAGAATTTTCACTCTCTGGGCAGAGTCTGTGGTTGGGTGCCTTGTCAGTGCCCATCATGTTGAAGAATCTACCTAACACTCCCTGCTTCATTTTCTTCACATCAGGGGCGTTGTCCTTTAAATTTTTAGTGTAATTGTAAGTTGTTGTTTTTTTTTTTCCCCAATGTGGTTAATGCAACCTTCTTTTGTTATGTTAGTATCAGAACATTTAGAGTTTTTCACTTCACTGAAAGCCTTTGTGTCACTGTCATAAATCAGACTTCTTTTCTCGTATGATCTTGAAATATATCATTGTCGCTGTCACGGTCTCTATGACATTCGAGGGACAATCTGCATTCTTCTGTCATTCAGATTTATTTATTTCCATCTAGTTTACAGTAATTGCCTATGATCTGAGTATCGAGAACGAGACCACTGTCAGCTTCGACGGCAACCGCAACCCTATTGTATAATGAATAATCTCTTTCTGCCATGTGCTATCATATAAAACAGTAAAAATGGGGAACGCAGTGTCACTTGTGGTTTTGAATGGTTGGAGACCTGCAGCTGCTGATCTTTCTGCAACTCCATCGCTGCTCGGCACATAGCTTCCTCTGCTGCTTTCTTGGCTGCAAGGCTCACACCTATTCTTTGCTAATTTATAGTGTTTTGGTTGAGACATCTGATTTGTAATGTTTATGACAGACAGCAAAGAAGTCAACAATCAAAGATTCGCTAAGTTTCTTTGCATGAATTCCTCTAGGCTTTTTGTGTTCAAAATGAAATCCTTTTCTTTATATAATAACTAGCTGTACCCGGCCACGCGTTTCTGTGGCGTAATTTGGCTACATGGAAAATAGAGAACATAGAAATGTGTCTTCGCTTCACGCTAGCGATGTACAGTGCAACAGCTAAACCACAGCTAATAAAACTTAAGGGGTAAGGCAGTTACTGTAACTTAAATCTATCTCAGTAAACAGTTTATTGTAACCACCCATCCCCCAGTTCACCTACTACTTTCTCCTTCATCAAAGTAGTTGGAAAAATTACCCTAGTGAAAAGCAATGAAAAGAGGAAAAATACACCATAATTACGAAATGAGCACATTTGCTAATTGCTGTAAACAACCCTGCACGCGTTGCTACAATAGAAAGTGAATTGAAAGGAAAATCGCTTTAACAAAATGTAATTATATTGGATCATTGTGCCGGTAATTTAACATTAAAAAAGTGTTCACTGAAGTGCTTTTGGGTAAACAAGGCTCATTGTTCTTCCGTCTGGCGCGTACACAAATAAATTAGAAGGTTTTCCGACGCGTGAACAGGCCACATAAAGCTGTCCATGTAAAAAACATGGATGTTCAAAACATAGTCCACACACCTGTAGGGATTGTCCCTGTGATTTGTTTATGGTCATTGCAAAGGCTAGTCGCACCGGAAACTGCAAGCGCCTGAAGTCAAATGGCATGTCTGTTGGAATCATTGGGATGCGTGGCAAAAGTATATTCTCGCCCTTAAATTCCCCATTTAAAATTGTACCTTCGCTGATATTGAGCATTAGCCTTTTCACTGAAAGCCTGGTACCATTGCAAAGACGGGGCGGATTGATGTTTCTGAGAAGAATGATAGGCACGCCAATTTTCACGGGTAAAATGTGGATTGGATGGGAAGCAAGTTGTTAATATTATTGCAAATAATGTGCGTATTTGCTGTGGTCGAGCAGTATTCGAAGCATCAGCGAGAGAAGTGTCCCAATGTGCATCATTTTCAAGAAGATTTAATTCTTGGCAAGCTTCACGGTAAGTAGCACATACTTTACCATAAACTGTTCTCAAGTCCTGGAAGGATGTGGGTCCACGTTTGTTGATTAAAAGTAATCGCAAGTAAAAGCATTCTGCATTTTTGGGATGAACTGTACAGACGGCCTAAAATATCAGTAGAATATAAATTAGGATGTCCTTCAACTGCTTGACCTTGGTTGCGACGTTGAAACTTTTTAGCTGATGCATTCCACATGTAGAATGTTGGCAGTTCAGAGTTAAGTAGTGTCTTTGCAAACATATCACCTTGACACAATGAGAAAAATGCAGTTAGCATGGTTGGCGGTGGTAACAATGCTCGTGCATGTGCATTTTCTGTAGTGAAGTACACGCGCTGTCCATTTTCAAGGTGCACTGCCAAATGAACAACTGCTGGGTGTCGTTCATGAATTGGAAAGGACAAAATGCGCAATACTGCTTCATTGCTACTAATGTAGCACCCCAGCTGATATTGCTCGATTTCGTCGATAGATGCAGCTGCATGTCCCACTCCAAAGACTGCCATATCGCTTCCTTTGTTGACATATTTGCAAATGTACTTTATTGATTTCACCGAATTGCAATACTCAACATTGATGTGTGCTTTGTACGTCTTTGAGAGTAACGGTGAATACGGTACAACCCAACGATTATCAACTTCAACATCATTGTTTCGCACTTTTAAAATGATCGTCGACGATAGAGAGGGTTGTTGTTGTTATCGATCCAGCAGCGCATGAGCTTTCGCCCTTTGGCCCAATGCAATGTAGTGGAATTTGCATGTTTTCACAAGCTGTTCTTTTCCTCCGTACAAGGTGTTCCACTTGTCTGGTCTCGGGGGGAGTAGCGTTCTTCTTGTCTCACTGAGTTTTAGGCACTCAAAGAGATGGTGTTCAACAGTTTCGTAGGGGTAGTTACATAGCTGGCACTCTGGGGAGTGTTGTGGCTGTATCCTGTTTAGGTGTCCATTGAGTGGAGTATGTTGCGTTCTAAGTCTGAAGATGGTGGCCTGGTCCCTTCTTGTTAGATGGTTAATGCTGTCATTAGGATCAGGGCCAGACATATGTCTATAAACCTCTCTTCCAGTGTCTCCCATGGCCCATCTGTTCAACCAAGTCTCTTTGTTTATAGCTCTTATCAGTGTTTTTGCTGTCTGGAGGGTTGTCGCTGTAGGTGGTTGTTCTTGTGTTGCTCCTTTCTTTGCCAATCTGTCAGCTCTGTCATTACCTGGTGTGCCGGAGTGACCTGGAATCCACTGCATCACTATTCTGATGTTGTATGAGGTAATAAGCTGATCGGCATCCAGGATTATCTTGGCTATGTCAGTTCTGCAGCGTTCATTGCCCTCCAGAGCTTGAAGGGCAGACATTGAATCTGTGAAGATGACAATATTTTGGACCTTTGAGGGGTAAACATCCATTACAGTCTTTAGGTGGTATACTGCTGTTTCCAGTGCAATTATTTCAGCTTCATAGTTTGAACAGAATTCCCCGCATGCATCAAAAATCTCTTCAACAGATCCATCGGGATAACCTATGTAGATTCCGTAACCTGCTTTAAATGCTGATCCATCAGTATAGACATGTATCCATTCTTGGGGGTAAG